TAAAAAAGCAAAGCTTCTTTCTTTCTTTCTTTCTTTTTTTTAACTCTTTGGGTATTACATACTACACATTACAGTTAAATCGGGGACCATTTCGGCGGTGTTTGGCATTGATGCCATTTTCTGAGAAAATGGCGCCATGTAGGCATTACATTAGAAAAAACGGTGTTTCAGAAAATGGCCTTTTATTTAGTACCATTTTTCTAGAAAAAACATTGCTTTAAACCACATCTTGGAAATCAGGAAAGTGTGGTCTAAACTCTGAAGAAAAATGCCAAATTCAATGTTTTCTCAGAAAACAGCCTGTTATTGCCAGCGGTGCAATGATGTAGCATCATCTTAGACGTTGGATAATATGACCAATGCTGAAAACGGTTCTATTAGCACTAGTACCAAATAAAATCAGTGTTGTTTTTCCAAAAAAAAGCCTATGTGACAATATTATACAGATTCCAAACAAAAAATAAGCACCATTTACCGAGAAAGCGGTGCTTGTTCCCAGCACCAATGCCAAACACCTAATTTGACTATTGCGTCATCATCAACAGGAAAGGGTTTCATCTGCAAAATTCATCTTTACATATCATCGGCATGTTGGTGTTTTTGGTATTTAGTTATTGTCATTGTAGATAAACAGGAAAACCCTATGGCCTCATTCGTTTTCCTTGTGGCGATTTACCTGGGTAATTAAATGTACTTACTTAGAGTACTTAGATAAGTGTGTCTACCTATGTTTTTTTTATTTCTCAAGTAAGTGAGACAATGACAATTTTATCTATTCAATATCCACCTAAAATCTATTAACCAATTTTCCCCTTAATAATTAAGAAAACAAAATGGGCCTAAGAAACCTAATTCAATGATCTGTTTGTCTTGATTGTACAATATTCGAATTGAGATTAATAAATTTTGCAGGGAACTTTGGAGGCATAAGTACAAAAATTAGCACTCTCTTAATTATTTGTTAGTTCTGATTTCCCTTCACGACATTATTTAGAAAACATTTAATTTAATTAATATCTGTCCTTGAGTGGTTGCATATACTTTAATAGTCATATGACATGCATTTGATTCATATGAGAAGCAAGGTTTGCTACACGTTACCAATTTTCAACCTTAAATAGACTGTGTGAAAACAAAAAAATTGAGCACCATTAATCAACACTCTTTGTACTTTTAAGGAATGTGAGTAGATTGGGTTGAGTTGGGTTAAGTGGTAAATCCGCACTTACCCAACCTATTAGATTGGGGTGCAGTCGAACACTCGAACCAAGCCGAGCTTAATTTTGATATATTTTGGTTCGATTGAAAGATTATTAGCTTTAGCTTGAGAGATTGAATATTTGATGAGCTTGAGTTTGATCTTCATTAGAATTGAACTTGAACCGAGTCTAATTGAATTCAAGCTCGAATTATTCAATTAGAGCTCGATTCAATTGCACCCTTACTATCAGCATCAAGTTGGCCTTAACTAGGATTGTCAATGGGTCAGGGTTGGGGTTGGGTTTAGGTAGAACCGGACCTGATCTGACAAGAAATATTAAGGACCAAAATCGAACCAGACCCAATATGGTTTGTAATTTTAGACCCATAAGTGAACCGATCAGTTCTTGGGGCTCAAGTTGGGTCTGAATTGGTTCTGGACTCAGTGGAACTAGTTCCGAATTGATAATAGTCATGACAATGTATCAGAAACCAGAACCAACCCAAATTGGTTTGAGTCGGTCAAGTCCGACTCGATCCATTGACAGCCTTGGCCTTAAGGCCTCATTCGTTTTTCGGTAAGTTACTTATCCGAGTAAATGAGTAAGTGCATTTACCCATGTTCTTTTATTTCCCATATAAATAAGGCAGTGACCATTTTAACCATAAAAAATCATTATTAGAAGGGGTATTTTTGTCCCATCCAAGTATTGACAACTTTCTCTCTAGGTGAAAAAATTATTTATCCACCTAAAAGATGGATGATACCAGGAAAATAAACATTACTTGATCCCCATATAAATTTGGAAAAAGAACATAAGTTTTCTTGATCAATGAGAATCAAAATCCCATTGACTAACTTTCCCCTCTCAAAATAAAAAAAAAATAAAAAAAAAACACGGCATAATGACGTAAAACCCCATCAATTGACATTGCAACTCTGATATATATAATAATACCCCGTCTTTATGTTGTTGGGTCATGTTCGGGTCGGGTTGAACAAACCCGTATCAATCCCGACGTATTGACATCCCCATGTAATAGTCCAGATTTCAGCATGCATCAAACAATCTGTATAGAGGCTCTGACCGGATTAGTAGATTTCAATAATGAAGTAAGTTGAATACCATTGTTGTTCATGTGTTCGGTGCTCCCCTCACATTTTGGTCACTTGTTTATGTTCTCTTCATCTTTTCGGTTCTACCATTCTTGACTTCTCTGCTTGTTTCTCCCTGCCTCCCACGTTAATGTGGGCCTTCCACCGCCCCAGCGCATTTGAAACATAATGGATCCTACTCAACACACCCACGAGCCTTTCTGCCAAAACCGCCTTGGTTTTGCACTATGTGGTCTATTTGTGGCCCCTCCAACTCGAACCCGATACCTGGTCCAATGGGCGACAACCCCGGTTATCATTTTACCCTGCCCGTCCCCACTCCCCACTATAGCTGTCTAAACTCTTAGTGTTTGTGGTTGGAGTTCCAGTGTCCGTAACTGTCCGGCCCGAGCGGATATCAATATCATACATCATAAGGCAGTGAGTGAATGTGATTATGTGAAAGTGAAACACGATTACAGTTTTGAGGAACGGGATCTGCTCCTCACACAGGGGCGTCTTACATGCACATTCACCGTGCATTGGAAACATCTCCTATAACGGGAAATGTTTCCAATGTATGGTAGGATATGCGTGTGAGGCGCCCTGTGTTAGGAGCAGATTCAGTCTCCAGTTTTGATAGGCTGATGTGGAAAGCTGTGGGCCACTGTGTGGCGTGGGTACGGGGTAATACCAGCGGCCCAGAGGGTGCTAAGGAAAGTGAGAGAGAGAGACCCGTTGACAAATTGTTCAATCATCAGTTCATCCACGTCTCTCCGATTTCTATCACTCCTCGGATCTTTTCCGAATTCAATTTTACAGTTGGGTTTTCCTGAGTTTTCTTGAGAAAAGCGGGGGAAAATGATTTACTTGATGGAAAATGAAAGGGTACTTTTTTGAATGGACGTGAATGATGGGCCACAGCAGTAAAATCATGAAAAACGTACATCGATAATAGGCCATGATCATTTAAGTAGGTCCTACATTTAGCGGTTTGTGATCAACCACAAACCTGTACAGATTGGACTCTGTATTTTTTAGTTTTAATACGTTAAAAGAGATTCCTACTCAACACGGCTGTCAATGGACCGGATTTGGGTTGATCCCTTTAAAAACAAAATCATTTTCGAACGGGTTGGATGGTCCGATAAAGACATATTGAATTCGACCCGTTTAGATTTAATGATTCAAAGTATTTATTGGATTGAGTTAGACGTGATCCATCTGTAAGGCATTTATATTGTATTGGGTCAGATTGAACCGGTCCATTAATAGAAGATAAGAGTATGGGTGTCAGTTAATCAGGTTTGGATTGGACCCAATCTGAGTTAAAACCAATTTGAATAGATTGGATGGTCCAATATGACATATTGAAGTGGACCAGTGAAGACTTAATGGTCCAAAGCAGTGTTTCCAAAACCGGATCAGGTCAGATGGTTGGATCAGAAAATCGAGAACTGGTCATTTGACCAATTCCGTTTTACTCCTAAACCACTTTTTTGCTAAAAACTATTCATTTGGTCAGCGAACCACTGATTCGAGCAGTCAAATTGGTGACCCAGACAATGGTTTTTATTATTTTTTTACTATTTTTTGTCAGGGTGAGCCATCCATTCGGACTAGATGGTCGGACCACTTGACCTGGGAACCGGTCCCCAAAATGATTCTCTATCTGGTCTGTTTTAAAAACCTTGGTCCAAAGTATTTCACCAAATTGGACTGGACCTAGTCCACCTATAATGGACTCATTGGACCAGGACAGGTTAGACCAATATCTAGTCCACTCACAACCTTGTTACTCACTTATTCAGTATGAAAAAACATATTGGGAATTCCACCTTCCAGGCCACATTAGTTGGCCTCATTTTAATGGCCCTGGTTTTATTATAGTATGCCGATATTTCTGGTCCTTATCGAGAATTGAAATCTGCTCCTTACAGAGCACGCCTTACATGGACCTCACAGCTTCACTCAATTGTGTATTGGAACGGGATTTACTCCTCATACATGAGCGCCTCACAGGTACATCCATCGTGCATTGGGAATATCTCCCGTGAATAATAACTTCTAAGTACCAGAAATATTTTCAATGCATGGTAGGATGTGAGTGTGAAGTCGGTGTGTGATTCCCTGTGTGGAGAAAATCCGTCTCCTATGTATTAAGAATATTCTCATGAATAACAACACAAAGGATAGAAAATATTCCCAATACGGAATAGGGCTATGAGGTCCGTGTGAGATGCGCCCTGTGAGGAGCAGATCCGACTCCCTTATGCACTGTAGGACAAGAAAGAAGTCAAAATGGGTTGACTGAATATGCTGTCACATTATTTTGGCAAAGCATGGGCTTCCCTTTAATTTATCACTCCAGTTTAATTTTGTCTAATGTACCACAATTTTGGTCAAATTTTACCTTTTACTTGACAAAAATAATATTAAGGGTAAAATACAAAAACCCCTATCTTAAAGTTTCTAACAATCATAAAAACCACCCTTATAGTTTTATTTTAGCAAAAATCTTTCTTCTACTTTTTAAAAAATTAACAAATACCACCCTTTCGTTAATGATCAAGACGGAAAACATTAGAAAGATGAGCAATTTTTTCAAAATATCTATTTCACCCTTTTACGAATTAATATGCATATATTTTTACTAAAATAACCCTGTCTCAACTCCATAATACGCTCAAATACTGTTGAATACTCCCCCTCCAACCTTCCCTCTTCTTTAATGGGTGGGCAACCATGACGGTAGATGGATGGCAATGTCAGACGTCCAAAGATGGTATGGGAACTTCGTTGTTGCTGTCATATCTCTCTTGGAGGAGAGCTTTTTTTTTCTTCTTTCTTATATAAACACGACGTTTCCTGCTTCTGTTTCTCTAGTGCAAAGGATCGATATGAGAACCAAGCTTGGTAATCGTAAGCTCCAGTTTTTCAAGGATGAAACACCTCTCAAGAGAAAGAGGGATTTCCCCGTGGAGAAGTGATGCTTGACTGGAAAAGGATGAGAACGGTTCCGGGAAACGTTAGAGAATCGGATTTTTTGATGGTTTGCCTGACAACCTTATCGTCTGTATCCTCTCCAAGCTCAGCTCCACCGCTCGTTGCCCTTCCGATTTCATTAACGTTCTCATAAAACACCCCTCTCTCTCTAACCGTTGTTTTATATCGATTCTCTTTCATTTCCTTTTTGGTAATGAAGATTTGCTCTGGGTGGTTTTCGCTTTGATTTTGTCGTTCTGCAGAAATGCAACAAAATAATTGATTTATCGCCGAAGAGGTGATTCCGTTATCGAACATTAGTCGGAAATATTCTGTTTTCAGTTGTTGATAACAAGTTTTCAATTTCCATGGATCGGCGTTTCTTCAACTTCAAATAAAGCTTTCTTTTGAAATTAGTGCTATGAAAAAAAAGAGCTCTATTTTCGTTGTGTAATGAAAATAACTATTTTTCTGCCTTCTCAATTGCTTCTCGTTTTGTCTCCTAAACAGGTGTAAGAGACTGAATGGTTTAGGCTTTCATCCCCTCGTGTTGTCGAAAGCATCTCCTATAGCCTTCGCCGTGAAAGCTAAGAACTGGTCTGAATCGTCTCATCGCTTCTTGAAGCAGTGTGCAGATGCTGGAAACATCGAAGCTTGTTATACTTTTAGCATGGTCAGTACATTATTACCTAAATTTACAGATGAAAGAAAAATTGTATAAATATTTATTTCGTTACTGAGCCTCGCAAATGATCATCTAATTAGCCTTTCTTATTGATTGCAGATCCATTTCTATTGTCTACAAAACCGAGGAAGTGGGGCGTCGCTGATGGCTAAAGCGGCCATCAGCTCTCACGCTCCAGCGCTTTATTCACTTGCCGTTATCCAGTTCAATGGCAGCGGTGGGTCCAAGAACGACAAGGACCTCCGAGCCGACATCGCTCTCTGTGCACGAGCCACTTTCCTCAGCCACATCGATGCCCTCCGGGAACTCGACCACTGTCTGCAAGATGGCTATGGCGTCCGCCAAAACATCGCCGAGGGGCGCTGATTCCTCGTCCATGCGAGGCGACATGAATTTTGTCGTTGCTTGGCGTGTGGCACCGTGAACTACTTTTCTCGGGCGTGTCAGGCGCTCGATTGGAAGTTAGGCCATAAGGTGGAGTGCGTACCCATGGAGCGGTGGCTCGGTGGCGATGTCGAAGCTAACGGAGGAATCGTCGAGGTTGACGAGGACGATGCCATGCTTCCTCTTGTAATAAACTAAAAAATAGAGTATCGTTCCCATTGATGAACTAAATTCCCAGTACCATCGTTGGATGTTTGACATTGTCATCCATCTCATTTTCCTTGAAACAAAGACTGGTTGTTAGTGAAGAATTCTCAAATGTGTTCCCCTCACTAACAGCTAGTCCACCATCCCAGACTCCCAGTACTATCATTGGACGACTGACAGTTCAGATGGCATGGAGATCGAATTCAATTGCCACTTCAATATTTGTGGGGAGAGAGAGAGAATCGGAGGGAAATTAAAGAAGAGGCAGGGTTGGAGGGGGAGTGCCCACCATCTGCTGTTGTGACTCGTGAGGAAGAAGATGAACAGTATTCAAGTGGATTATGGAGTTGTTGAGTCGGAAGGGAAGTATTTGTTGAATTTTTCAAAAATAGAGAGGAGGTTTTTGCTAAAATAAAACTATAGAGGAGGTTTTTATGATTGTCAAAATCTTCAGGGGAAATTGTATTTTATACTAATATTAAACTTTTAGGATAATTAGACTGCACTCCACCTCAGAAATCTGAAATCATGGCCCCCTCTTCATCTACTAATAGCCCCCTATAATTAGACTGCACTCCACATCAATCCGTGGTCAGGATTCGCCTTACCTATACGGTGGGGCTAAGATTTGTAAGGGTGGATTGAACTATAAAAACCCATTTTTTTATTTTTGACTGTAAAGTGTACACAAGACTTTAACTTTTTTGGGATCAAACCCGATTATCTCAATAATGTTTAAGCTTAGTTTGATCAGAATAATGCAGATACAAATATGTACAATGCAAATATAAGGTTAGAACTTAGAAGTAGAATTATACATATTTGTATTTGCACCGGGCTCAATTTGAGAAGAGTGCAACCATTGACACCACTATAAACCACTGGAGTACCTATTAAACATTTAAGAGGTGTTTGTCAATGTGTATGATTTTGTATTAAAGGAAAATCTATCCACTTCAGTCTTTGTTTCTCCAAGGTGATTACTTTGAGCTTATTTTATGAAACCCCTCAATTTTAGAAAACTCATGTCAATTTTCTTGAAATTAGTCATCTTTTAGCTTTAAGAATGAACTCATTTTTCATATAAATTCATATTTCATGGGCCTATCATTCGACCCAAGAATTAGACCCCTAACCGGTTCATTCCCCATATCGATTTTAAAAACCTTGATCTTGATTTTTGAGGAAGAATATGATGAACAATATTAGATGATAATTTTAACATTTTCAAAAGTTTTAAATTACATGTTATCATGTGATAGAAATACTTGTCGAACTACTAACGACATGGACTAAACTAACACATTTTGAAAGTTTAAATACTAAATTGATATATTTTAAAATTCGGATACCAAAGTGAAACTAGGCCCAAATTGACACGTTTTCAACTAGATTGATATGTTTTGAAATTCGGAGACCGAAGTAAAACTAGTCCCAAACAAAAAGATGCTAATCTACCCACGGTGGCCCACCATCTATGATATGAGATGTTATGTGGGTACGTTTTTATGTTGTGATGAGATCCGGACCCGTTCCCCCTCTTAAGCCCCGAAGTTGGAGTAAGAGCAGTCAGGTGTTAATGGTGCACGTGTGACAAGCAAAAGGATGTCAGTCACGACTCACGAGAATAAATATCCCGAGTCAAAAAGGAACTCGCCTCCAGAATGGGTAGTTGGCATCGTGATTCCTGTTTTGCGGTGAAAAATGAGCTGCAATAAAAAAAAAAGAAAATAAATAAAATGAGAAGCTTTTTCGTTCACTTTCAGAAAAGAGTAGATTCCAATCTTACGGTTAAAAGTCTCGATGAATCAAAAATAACAAGTGGTCAAGTTTTTGGTCAAATAGATGGGGTGATGAGATGCGTGTAATACTTGGTGATTGGTGTCACAAGAAGCATCAAATTTTTTAGATTAAAAAGCAGAAAGAAAAGCGAAAAAGAAAACGAGGGGAGTGAAGGATGACGGCTCTGCTAGCGTACTTCAGCGGGAGTACCAAGTGCCAATACTACCCCTCGTGTCGTGTGCCTCGTTCAGACGCAAAACAGATCCAAATCTCTCATCACCATCAACAAAACAACAGAGGGGATCACCACCGTACATACAGCGTTGACAGAAACGAACGATCCATGAAGAGATCATGAGATGTCAGGTCATCCTCATCCAAGTACATAAGCTGGATTGGTGATCTAAGGCGATGACAAAAGTTTCGTCCTTCTATGGTCAAAATACACCACGTGGAATGTCAGAGATGGACAACCGGCTGTCTGGCTCAACCACAACTAGGTTCTTGTTCCGACCGGCTTTCACCCTTCGGCAAAACCGGAAGGTAGAGCTAATGGACCAGTTCCACACCAATTATTAATCTATAAAAGTTTAGAACTGAACCAATTATTAATTGGAATAACCGGATTTTGAGCATTAAAATACAGATATACCCGATATGATCGATACTCTATTTTGTTTTTATTTTTATTTTTTACTTTTTTATAAAATACAGATAATACCCAATATGATCAATACTCTATTTTGTTTTTATTTTTTTTATGTTTTATTTGATTAGGATAAGAGGATGCAATTTGTCTTGCCAAAGCAATAAAACCTTTAAAACTCTTGTCTATTTTGCTATTTGACGATGTATTAAGGCATCTCACTTTCTATTTATATATATATATATATATATAGTAAGACAATCCACATCACCTAATCTTACATTCTCTTTGACTCTCTCCTTTCCCCCTTTCCACCACTTTTAATTTGCCATCTCAGCACCCTATCTCTCCATCCATTCATTTCCCTTCCCATTGGGTTCTCTCTCTCCCAACAAGTCACGTCTCTCATCTTCTATTACAACCTAACTTCTCCACTTAATTAGTTCATTATGTGTTTTATCCTCTTATTCACTTCTATATCTAATTCCCCTCTATTCTCTCTAACAATAAGGGGAATTTGATGCTTCCTATATATTCATGGCATCTTCCATTATTGTTAAATAATCTATTATTAAATAAATCTATTGTTAAATAATCCATTAGTTATGAAAATTATTAAAGTTTTATGGAAAATATTATACCAAAAATTATGAAATAATTATTTAATAAATAATAAATTATTTCACAAATATTAATTAAATAAATAATCTACAAAAATTAATAAACAATCCACTATCTAATAATCTTTGGTTATTAATAAATGTTCAAAATTTCAACATTTAGTGTAATTTACATTAATAATTGTAATTAGCGTAATTTACTAATTTTTATAATATCAATAATTATAGTTAACAATTATCAAATAATTTAGGGAAACTCTTTAACTAATAATCCATAATTATTTTTTAAATAAGTAGTTAAAATTTAATAAATTAATCTATAAAAAATATTCTCCAAAACTATCTAAATAATAATCAATTATTATTATTCAACTAAATAATTATTTAATTTATAAAATACCCCCAAACTATCATAATCCAATTCCTAAAGTACCCCCAAATTCCCATAATCCTATTTGTAAAATATCCATAAATTAGACTTTTTTAGGTGGTTGCCTCTAGGTGGGGAAAATTTTGGGATTCCCCATCCCTGGCGGTGAATGTGTGCCTCACCTTGAACCCACCAACCTTGAGGTGAGGGACAAGAAGGGGTACTGCATCTCTGTGCATCACATGGGCCCCCACTAGTATATGAATACACCGATATAGATACAACATTATATCTGATACAAGGCTTATTGTATCAATATTTCAATGTAACAACTTGGGACATCATTTTTTATAGTATTACCTTAGGGTCTATTTGATCCATAGTTGGAATTGGAATTAAAATCCCATTGGAATTAGAATCATAATGGTTTATTCCTTCCACCTGTTTGGTTTAGACAGAAATTGGAATTAGTTAGAATAAATCTCATTCCTAAGGAAGGGGAGGGAATGAACATTCTCTTAAGGCCCTATTTGTTTTTCTCTAGTTTACCACTTACTTGGGTAAGTGCATTCACCCATATTCTTTTATTTTTCAAGTAAATAAAACAACCACTGCTTTAGCCATAGAAATCACTATTAAAATGGGCAATTTTGAATAACATAATGACCGTTTTAGCCATAAAAAACCATATTAAAGGAGTAATTTTGTCCCATCCAAGTATTGGCAACTTTCCCCTTAGGTGGAAAAGTTATTTATCTAACTAGAAGATGCATATCACTTTTTCAAGAAAAATAAAATTTCTATGAACTTCACATAAAATCCAAAAAAAAAAAAAAGAATTTCTTGGATTCCATTGACCAACTTCCCTCCCCCTCTCCCTCAAAATCCAAACAAGGAATATACCCTAAATGGGAGAATGCTATTCCACCATAAATTAAAATCGGATTTCGATTAATATTGATAAAAATCAAAATTATAAAATTTACCCTTATTAACATAAATATAACAAATTTAAAAATCAGTAGACCTCCATACATTATTAACAATATAATCAACAGTTCGAAACAGAAAGAACCAGTCCCAAACCCAATTAATTAATTGGGACATAAACCTTTGAAGCAGAACCTATATAATAGGTTTGGCCGGTTACCCGGTGGGAGGTGGAATTCCGAACCGAACCGAACCTGCCTTTGGTCACCGTAGCGTTTTCGTTTTCAGAGCATTTCTCAACAATTATCTCCTTGTCAGTCGTCAAGTCGTCATCGTCAACAAAACAGAGTGAGAAGAGAGAGAGAGAGAGGAGTGGGCAGAGTGGCAGAGCCGCCGAGGAGAGAGAGAGAGAGAGCAGAAAAAAAAAAGGAAATGAAAACAAGAAGAAAAGTAGAGAAAGCGTTAACTGTCATTTAAAGCTTCTGGGATTTTACCATGTGAATTTTTTATCTTCCATTTTCAACCGCTCTCTCCTTTTACTCTCCCCGAGCTATCAAAACAGACAAACTCTCTCTCTCTCTCTCTCTCTCTGTCTCTCGTTCTTTAAAGCCTCTGCTTCTATTTACAGTAGAAATTGCAGAGGAAGGAAAAGGGGAACATTAAAAAGGTAAGGCATTTGCAACCCTGACTTGAACAGTTTTTTTTCAATGGAAGAATCAATAAAAACCACGAGAATTATGACTCTTACGTCTATTATTGGTCCCTCTCTTTTCCTTATATTCATTTATTAATTTCATCTTCAGCAGCAGATCCATGAGAGTAGATATGTCAGTCGTGTTTTCTCTTTTGCTATTAATGGCCTCAAGCTCGGATCTTTTCTGGTCGCCTGGAGTTGGACTCTCTGCTGCTCTCATTCCAACCTTCTAGGGTTTGTCGGGGGGTTTTCTGTTTCCCTCTTCTTGGAGTTAGGGTTTCTTGTTTGGCAAAAGGAGTTGGAATTGTATTTTTGGCTTCTTCGATGTTACGTGAGCGATATTCCGGATTGCGGAAGTTGCAGGATTTAGTTCGGCACTTGTACTATAAAAATTTTCTTCAATTCAGATTTGTGAGCTTGGGTTTTGAGGTTTTACGTAGGTATCTTCGATTTCTTGGTTCTTGTCAGCAATTGCTATCGTAAATGGGCAACTGATCTTGTTGAGGTGTAACAATTGTTATAGAATTCTTTTTTAACTGTCTTATTCCAATAGGGGGTTTTAAAATGTCCACAAGTGTCGCTTGGATGTTTGAATGCGTTCATCCTTGTAATTTTTTGTTGGTTTTACCTATTTATTATCGATACTTTCGATGTTCATCGCACTCAATACACATAAGATCTCTATTTGTACATGATTAAGTATGTGAGCTCAATTTTCTTCCTCTTGGGTACTAAGAACTGTCATTTCGTAAGAGAAGAATACTGGGATAAATGCACTGGCGACCTTGATACTTCTGTCTAATACTGACCTCTCCATGCACAACCTTGATGAAACTTTAATTGATAACAAGCGATGCCATGGAATTCATGGCATCCTTTTGTTTTTGCTCAATTCTGAATTCTAATTTTTATGAAGATGTGGATTTTTTTTTTGGTATTGGACAGACCTAGTAGGCATAAATTCAAAAGATATTTTCTGCTTTATGGTTCTTACTTTTTTTTTCTTTTTTAAATTTATTACCCCTAGTACGTCTTTGACTGTTTTTAAGATTCCATGCTGTTCTTATTGAGTTGGGATCCTATATTTGCAAGATGTATAGTTGAGATAAGGCTTAGATGATGATGATGATGATGATCATGCCTTCCCTATTTTATGCATTTCCCATCATTTTTAATAATAATTGGTATGGTTTATTGACCGACAATCTGGTGTTACAGGTTATCCTAGGTGGGAAGCAATTGTTGCTACAACTATGAATAGGAGACTCTTTCACGGTTAATGGGGAAATAAATTGATACTTAGACTTGTTTGTCCTTGCTACACTTCTCACTGGAAACTGGTTTACTAAGAGATCTTAAGATTTATGTTATGGTTAGGAATCTTGCATCTTTCTGGATGATCCTCCTAGTTATGTAAAAATCAAGAGACAAAAAAGATGGCCATTAGAATGTTTCACTAACATGTAAATGTATTTAAAGGAGAGGCAGTGGGGTTTGAGTTCTGCTAGTACACCACAGAGGTCCATAGGACTTGCTTTATTACTGTCAATTTGAAATGTATGCATCTGTAATGGCTTCTTGCTGAAGATAAGATATTTCATTCTTTCCTTTACATCCACATGGTCAACCACAGAACTCTCAAATATCATGTTGGGTAACTTGTAAGGGGATGCTGTACGAATTGTTTTTACATAAGAGCACATAATTCAGTCAGCTTGGTTATTGTTTGAAGCTTAATAAAATATCCATACTTGTATATTGTTGCACCGATCACGCCTAGAACCAAATTGGAGATATGGAATCTGTGACTACCTGTATTTACCAGAAGAAGGGTATTGCTTCTCGGCTATTTCCAGCTGTTGGACCCATGTTTCTGATATCAATGGGATATATTGACCCAGGAAAGTGGGCTTCAGCTATTGAAGGAGGTGCCCATTTTGGTTCTGATCTCATATTACTGATGTTTGTTTTCAATTCTTCTGCAATTCTGTGTCAGTACCTTGCAGTTCATATTGGTTTGGTTACTGGAAAGAATCTTGCACAGGTATCATTTATTTTCTGCAGCTTTAGGTTATCCAGATAACTTCAGTGTACTTAAGAAGATGTTTTTTTTTTTTTTCTGAATTTTTTATTGTCATTTTATGTCTTAACCAAGGTTCATCACTTAGCCCTTATCTATTTGCACTGGTCATAGATGAATTGACTAAACATATTCAGGAAGAAGTTCCATGGTGCATGTTGTTTGTAGAAGATATTGTTTTAATTGATGAAACTAATAAAGGATTAAACACAAAATTAAGTTATGGACAAATGCCTTAGAAACAAGAGGTTTTAAAATAAGTAGGACCAAAACAGGGTATATGACATGTACATTTAGTAATACTAGGAGTGTAAATCAGGATACACTTGGGATTGGAGACTAATGGATAACTCAACGTGACCATTTCTAGTACCTTGGTTCAATAATTCATGACAAGGGAGAGATTGAAGAGGATGTCACCCAAAGAATTAGAGTAGGTTGAGCAAAACAGAGGGTGCATCTGGACTTTTCTGTGATAGGTGAATACCACTTAAATTAAAAGGAAAATTCTATAAAATAGTTGTAAGGCCAACTATGTTGTACGGAGCAGAGTGTTGGACTGTTGGGTAGTCAAGAAATAACATGTCTAGAAAATGAATGTGATAGAAATGCGAATCCTAAGATGGATGAGTGGAAAAACTAGAACGCATGATAATTTTATGTCTTAACTCAACAGGCTTGGTGATGTTTTAACTGCGGGCATTATTTGGCAACATACAATTATACTTACCTTCTCCAAAAAGATCCAGAAACAATAGCATTTTCAATATGTTAACTTTAATATTTTCAAAGTTAATACTAACATAATAAGTGTTTAATAGAGAAATTTCATATCAAATTAGCAAATGAAGAAAACTGTAATTTTATATAATAAAAATTTAAGATGCAGAGTAAGTAAAAGAGAAAAAGAACATGGATGGTGCTACTGTTTCATTTTAATGTTAAGAGGAGAGAGTGAATGGAAAAAACAGAAGAAAAAGAAAAAGATACCTCCTTCTTCTTCTCTTTATTTCTTTTTCTCTACCCAAATCCATTGAGTATTTTGAATTTCAATAGTAAAACTTTAAAGCAAAGTATAAATAAATAAAAATTTAAGATGCAGAGTAAGTAAAAGAGAAAAAGAACATGGATGGTGCTACTGTTTCATTTAATGTTAAGAGGAGAGAGTGAATGGAAAAAACAGAAGAAAAAGAAAAAGATACCTCCTTCTCCTTCTCTTTATTTCTTTTTCTCTACCCAAAACCATTGAGTATTTTGAATTTCAATAGTAAAACTTTAAAGCAAAGTATAAATAATATATAGTAGATAATGGAATATATTGGCACACATTTTGGTAAGAAGATGTCATGCAGCTGTAATAATGATATTATAGTAAGGCGCCCATCTTGTGCTTTTTGTCACCTAGGTGGATGCCTGGTTGCCTAGGCAGGCACCTAGTTACTATTATTCAAGGTGTTTAGGTGAGGCACCGAACCAACAGTGCCTAGTTGCCTAGGCAATGCCTTGACAACTATGCTCAGAAGATACCATGAAATCTTTGAAAGTGCAAAGGATATTTCTTCGCGGTCATGGCTATATAAGTCTGGTTATCTTTTTCTTTTGACAGAAACTTTGGTACGTTGGTGATTTTGGTTACCCTTGTATTGAAATTTAACTGTGCTATTATTTTTGGATTCACATGTGCAACCTACGAGTTCCTCATTCTAGCTATTGATGATTGTGGGTGTTTCAGTTCTCTTTTCTCTTTCTATGCCTCTATGGTCACTTGCATTTTTATCTTGTTATTTATCATTCATTGATAACTAATTACTTTTTTTACCTTCTAATGCAAAAGATTTGCAGTGAGGAGTACAATAAGTCCATATGCATATTACTTGGAGTTCAAGCAGAGCTTTCTGTGATTGCTTTGGACCTGACTAAGGTATCTCTTCTGCTTTATCTATTAACCATTTAATTTTTCCATTGCATTACCCTTTTTTATTTCATGTTTCTCTAAGAATGTTTTGAAATGGAAAAACAATACGAAAGTGGTGAAATACGTTATTTACCACTATATATGAATCATCTCTAATGCATGTTTTCCTGGATTATGCTAGATTCTGGGTGTTGCACATGCACTTAATCTCCTTTTTGGGGTGGACCTGTTTATCTGTATCTTTTTGACTGCACTTGATGCTGTTTTATTTCCTCTTTTTACCACCTTCTTGGTAAGCTTTTTAGTTATTTTATCTTCCATTATCACTGCCAATGGATAATCTCTTACTCTGACACCAACCTGTTTTTTTACTTGATCTTCAATTTTCAGGAGAAATTCAAGGCAGAAGTCCCGTTTTCGATCATGGCAGCAGTTATATTTCTTTTTTATATTCTTGGAATACTTATAAATCAACCTGAAATCCCACTTGGCATAAATGGGATGCTTACAAGGTTAAATGGGGAGAGTGCATTTACCCTGATGAGTCTTCTTGGAGCAGCTATTATGCCTCACAATTTCTACCTCCATTCTTCTATTGTGCAGGTATTTCCATTTTTCTTATTGTTTATTATTTTTCTTTTTCTATTCATTCTGCACCTCCTTCCTTTCTAAACATGGTCAGAATTTTGCATTGATATATTTATTAAATTAAGAATCTCACATGCTACATAAAAAATCAATTTTGTGGGGGGGGGGGGCATGGGAGTAGCTAAAGATTCTATCCTTCTTCAGAAAAAAAAAATCTAATTTGATTGGGGCATTTGATTGCATGTCCACTTGACTTTGTTCATATCCTGACTGTAACATGATTTGCTCATCACCAAATTAATGATGAGAGTTCATTTTTGGATTGAATGTGTTTGGGCTTTGGATTTTGCTTCTAATGGTAGTGTTGAATCTTTGGATTTATTCTTCCTCCTTTCTGATGTGAGAGTGAAAATTCGTGTTTGAATATTCAGACCTCCTGGGCACTGCTTTTGCCCATGTTATGGTTTACCAAAGAACAGCTGCATAGATGCAAATATTGAGCTTTATGCTATGTTGTGTGATTGTCTATATATGTTGCATTGACATTTATTGGTTAGTCCGCAGCAATTATAAATTTGTAGTGCTGTATCTTTTCCATATATTTATGTACAGGCAAGCTGAGCAGCTAACTGCATAAGTATTTCTAATTTGGTTTTTGAGCTTTTTTTATTAGTAAAGAAGATATTATTAATTATATGAAAGATGTTTAGTATATGAGGTTGAGATATTTCAACCATCCAATATACAAAGGATTCACACTAGCGTCCAAAAGAGCTGATGTCTATTTACCTCATGTTTTGCTAATGAATCCACCATGCTATTTGCAGTCCTTCTAACCCAAATGCAGGAGGTGTATAACTCTCTTGATAGACTATCTGTCTCCTTGAAGATATACGTGTAAATCCAAGGGGTTTGGCTTAGGCCTTCTGCCCAAGTGATCATCAGTTTTGAGTCCCCCTCTACTTCCAAGTAGGAACAAGATTGCTTTTCTAATCTTAGGCCTTGTAGCAAGGCCACCAATTCAGCTCTCAGAGAGTCTCCCACTCTAATAGGTCCCGAATACATGGCCACCACTAGGGGTGGATTCAAGCCAAAGAGTTGGACAAAGTGGAGAATTAAATCTTAATTTATTTGATTCATATGTATCATTATAAGCCATAAGATTCATGAATTAAATTGTAGTGTTGAGATGGTAATTGTAAGACTTCTGTAGAGAAAAACTTGGACGTAAGCAAATTGGAACCCTTGGGGTTCATGATTTGAGTTGTAAACTGTATTGTAAATTTTAAGGTTTTGATGACTGATGTGGGAGTCCCTTTCCACCACCATCCTTGTAAGACCCATGGGAAAACAGTCTTGTATTTATGAATAAAGGCCAGGGTCAACTCTTACTGAATCACTAGAGACTGCATCAAAAAAAAAAAAGTAGCAAAAAATCTCTTCGTTACTTTTTCTAAATGCAATGCCAATTCATAAGGTTACTCCACAGTGATTTAAAAGGTGCGCTTAGGCACACAACAAGGTGCATTTAAGGTATGCACATCGCCTAGGCCCTATGCACAACACCTTCAAAAGGCACATGCCTAGGCATGCACCTTTTTGAAATTTGCACATTTTGCTCTTTTTCAGGCCTAGTGATTGGGCCAGGATGGTGCCCGTGGACCCCATGAAGCCCAAACAAGTCCATGTTATTGTTAGGGTCTTAAATTCTTAACCCCCTACAAAATAATTTGCTTGCTCACCTAACCTCTGAGAACCCCCTATTTGCTAATGTTGTTCATTCATTCATTCATTCATTCATCTTAGTAGAAGATATTTTTAAAAGACAATTAGAATTATAAAAGCATTTATTTGTTGGCTTAAATATGTTTTATATGTTAAGTTTGATTTTATTTTTAAAATTTCATTTTGAATATGTTTTACATGTTATGTTTATGTGTTTTAATTTGAGATAATAGGTTTCTTTAAAACATTTATTTTAAAACTTAAGTTTATATTTTTGATTAATATAATATTTAATATTTTAACTTTTTTTGGCATTTTTTTGTAATTTTGCACCTTGCTTTGAAAAGGCACGTGCCTTATCCTTCCCCTGCACCTCAGGTGCAAAATGCCCCTTGTGCTTTTTTGTGCTTTGCGTTTTTAAAACACTGACTTCACTTTCCTATGGCTAGTGATCATAGAAAAAGTGGTGAATAGGGAAGTGTAAGTCAGCAGAATTCTGGGACTGAGGGGAGGAGTCCCTTGGGGGGCTGGGTGCTTGCTTTGGGTCTCTTATGGGTGTCGGTTTGGTGTTTTGATGGTTTGGGTTTTATTTGTTTGTTATTGTTTTATTTCATATCTTTTTTTTTTTTTTTTTTTGCTTTTGTAAGGGGTTCTGATTTAGTTGGGATGGTCCTGTTTGTCTGGGTTTTTTGTCAGCCTCAGTTGGGTTTCCTTTGGGTCGTTTCTTCTCTTGGGGTGATTGCGTATCACCTTCCCTTATATCTTCTTTTTGTTTAATATTTTTTTTTTTGATTTCTTTTGAAGGTCTACACAACGGGGGGGGGGGGGGTAGCCCATCCCCAAACCCATAACCCCCCAACCCAGGTGCAGGCGGGATTCGACCCCAAGTCTTAGCTACGACCAGCAGGAGACCTTACCAACCAGCTAGTTGGCACCTTGCTTTTTGTTTAATAAAATTTTTCTTTATCTTCAAAAAAAAAAATGAAACAAGTCCATGGGTACATAGAGGCCTTGTACAATGGCTTCTAGTATGCACCTGAAAATCTTATCCCATACCCTTGAGTTCTTCATTTATTTTTTATTGGTAACTGAAATTTATTGATTAATAGAGAATAAATAAATAATGATATCTACAATGATGCCAAGCATTATTCATCAAAAAAAAAAAAATGATGCCAAGCATTAAACAATGAATATGGCAAAACAGGATATGACATTAAACAGAATAGAATGACAAAACAGGATTCATGTAGCCTACCCCATATAGGAGACTAGATCTAGTGGGCACACCCTTGTGAGCACTCAATAGATATTTTCATAGCAGCCTTAAAAAATTTCACTGAATCATTTCAAGGGTAGACTGGGGGTATTTATGGGACAGGTATCAGAAAATTTACTTGGTGCATGCTTGGTGTATTCACCAAGTGTGCCTACCTGACTACCATAACCTTGCTTTACCACTATTTCCCTCATTAAATTGATTTCTATATATTTATATTACATTTTCCCTTCCATATCTCTTATCTTCCTCATCTCGCTGCAGAGTTGCAAAGATACCTTTCCTTTCTTTTTTAACCAACCCATCCCCACTTTAGAATCACCCTCTAGGGCCTCTACTTACATACAAGAGTGTCTGCACATTCTATTAACAGCCGAACAGAGGAGAAGAGAGGTAGGAGAAGAGAAGAGGAAGAGAAGAGAGAGGAGAGGAGAGAGGAGCGAAGAGAAGAGAGAGATTTGGAGTCTGCTACAGTGCCGCCACAGTGCTGGCGGCGCCAGCTTATATTAGTATATATAGGGCAACCATAATCAGAAGGGAAAGGACCTTTATGCCCCTACTTAAGTTACAACATAAAAAACAAAAGAAAAACTGCTTTAATTTGTCCAAACGGACCCTAACTCAGCAGAATACACACGTAATAAATAAAGTTAACATTCCAACACTCCCCCTCAAGTTGGGACATGGATGTCAATCATGCCCAACTTGTCACACAAATTATTATGCCGCACGTGTTGAAGGCCCTTGGTGAAGATATCTGCTAGTTGTTCCTCTGAATTAACATAAGGAGTGCACACTTCTCTGCTCACAAGTTTTTTTCTAATAAAATGCTTGTCCATTTCAATATGTTTTGTTCTATCATGGAGGACTGAGTTAGCAGCAATGGTGATAGCAGCCTTGTTGTCATAGTAGAGTGACATAGGTTTGTTAACTGCAAAACCCAACTCTCCTAGCAAATTTTTTATCTACATCATTTCAACAACTCCATGAGACATGGCTCTATATTCTGCCTTAGCACTGGATCTAGCCATCACACTTTGCTTCTTACTTCTTCAGGTGACTAGGTTTCCTCCCACAAAGGTACAATACCCACTGGTAGATTTTTTGTCATCGATTTCCCCTACCCAATTAGCATCTGCATACACCTCCACTTTAAAATGCTCATGTTTCTGGAAAAGCAAACCAACTCTTGGGAACTTCTTGAGGTATCTAAGGATTCTTTTTGCAACTTCAAAGTGAGTTGTCTTAGGATTATGCATGAACTGACTAAGAACACCCACTACATAGGCAATCTCAGGTCTGGTCATAGACAAATATAAGAGTCTCCCTACAAGTCTCTAGAACTTCCTTACATCTTTCAAACACTCCCCCTGACTGTTTCTTAGCTGATGGTTGGGTTCAATGGGTGAATCAATTGGTTTCACTCCCAACTTGCTTGTATCCTCTAATATATCTAGTATATATTTTCTTTGGAAAATAAAGATGCCCCTTTTTGAGTAGACAACTTCAATTCCAAGAAAATAGCGTAAGGGGCCTAGATCTTTCACCTCAAATTGAGTGGCTAGGAATTTCTTCAGCTTATGTATTTCAGTCTTTTAGTCTCCTGTGATTACTATGTCATCAACATAGACAATTAAAGCTGTAATTTTTCCTTCACCTTTTTTCACAAATAAAGTATGATCTGATTGGCATTGTTTGAATCCCATCTGTTGCACTGCTAAATGAAACCTACTAAACTTGGCCCGAGGTGATTGCTTCAACCCATATAAAGATTTTTTTTTTTTAACTTGCACACCTTCTGCTCCACTACCTTTGGCACAAAAACTTGGAGGTTGAGTCATGTAAACCTCTTCCTTTGGGTCACCATTCAAGAATGCATTCTTGATATCCAACTGATGAGGTTCCCAATCAAGGTTAGCTGCCAGTGAGAAGAGGATTCTGATTGAATTCATCTTGGCTACTGGAGCAAAGATCTCTGCATAGTCTACTCCATACACTTGTGTAAACCCTTTGGCCAACAATCTAGCTTTGTATCTTTCTACTGAACCATCAACTCTATGCTTTACTGCGAATACCCACTTGCAACCCACTGGTTCCTTCCCTTTAGGAAGATCCACTAACTCCTAGGTGCCATTTTTGTGTAAGGCATTAATTTCTTCCTTCATTGCATTTGTCCATTCAGGTTTGGATAAAGCTTCTGCCACATTTTTAGGAACAGAGACACTGTCAATAGAGGAAAGGAATGCACGGTATGAAGGTGAAATATGATCATAGGACACAAAGTGAGAGATAGGATGATTAGTAGTACAAGACCTAACACCATTTCTCTTAGCAATAGGAACATCAAGATCATTAACAACAGGAGGATCAATGTTAAGAGATTCAGGTATATCAATGGGAACAAGTGTACTTGGTTGATGAGGAGGATCTACCTCCGGAGAGTCCAATGATATTGGTTGCATAGTTTTAGGTTCCACGGCTCTTGAACTCTGTTGGTTCTTATGGCGGCGAAGAAAGACCCGAAATGGAGAAGGGTCGGGAAGAGGAGGTAGTTGAACCTGAGTGTGTTTCCCTTCAACCCTACTCTCTCCCTAAGGAGAAACCGAGAAGAAGGGTTGACTCTCAAAGAATGATACATCCATGGAGACATAGTACTTGCGTGAAGCAGGATCATAGCAGCGGTAACCCTTTTGATATAATGGATAACCAAGAAAAACACAAGGAGTGGCACGGGGATCGAGTTTACTGCGAGTAGGAGACAAGTCATGAACGAAGCAACGACACCCAAAGACATGCATTGGAATAGGGGACAACAGAGTTGTAGGAAACAAGAGTTGATGTGGGGCCTTATACTCTAGTAACCGAGATGGCATACGATTGATGGTATATGCAGCACACATAACAACATCCATCCAAAAACGTTTCGAAACATTCATATGAAGTAATAAACCATGAGCTACCTCAAGTAAATGACGATTTTTCCTTTTAGCAACACCGTTTTGTTAAGGTGTCCTGGCACAAGAGCTTTGATGAAGAGATCCACACGAAGCAAAGAACTCCGTGAGATCACTATGGAAGTACTCTTTTGCATTGTCCGATTGGAAAATGTGAATTTCAGTTTGAAATTGAGTGAAAACCATTTGTTGAAAGTTTTTCACAATCTTTGGCACTTCATCTCTAGATCGCATAGGATACACCCAAGTATATCTAGAGTAGTCATCGATCAAAATAGGGAAATATTTATATCCAGTCTCAGTAGGTAGAGAAATAGGGCTCCAAACATAAGAATAGACAATATGAAAAGGAAATTCAGATATTTTATTTCTTAAAGGAAAGGAATTTCTACAATGTTTGCTCAATTGGCATGTATGACACTGCAATTTACTAACTAATAAAGACTTAAACAACTCAAGAAACATAAGTTTTAAAGACTCAAACGAAAGGTGACCAAGACGATTATGCCACAAGTAGGCATGACTCTCACCAGAAGAACTTAAAGACTCTGTAGCCACAAGACCAACTTTATTCTCCAACACGTAGAGGCCATCCACCATGCTTCTTCTACCAATTGTCTTCCCTGAGGTCAAATCCTGAAATACACACGAAAAAGGAAAGAAGGTCACTGAACAATTCAAGGAATGAGTAATACTACTAATGGAAAGTAAATTGATAGGTAATTTAGAAACATGCAACACATTAGAGAGGGTAAGACCAAGAGGAAGGGAGATGGTTCCTTGACCGGCTATGGTGGAATAAGACCCATCAGCCAGTCTCACCTTATTTCTCCAAGGGGAATCAGATGAGGTTATATGCCTAAAATAAATTTGACTTATCAGTCATGTGGTTTGAGGCTCTAGAGTCAACTATCCAAGGGGAACCAGATGTATGAGATGACACATGGAAGGCAGTGGCAGTGTTACCTGATGTAGACGCAAAGGAGGTAGAAGGAGTAGGGCCAGAATCCATTTGGCAAAGTGTCCTACCATATAATTCCAAGTGGTCACGAAAAGAGTTGATGATCTCTTCCTTGGAGTCAGAACCAAAGTGTCGCTCTTGGGGTACCATGGGACTAGTCTCTTGAGATGCCACATTTGCTGAGTTATATTTCTTCTGACTCTGCTGGGTTGGCTTTTTACTCGGATCAGACTTCTTACTCAATTCCTGAGCCATTTCGGCTTGCCATGAAGATCCCAACATGTGTCTCTAGCGTGCCTGGACTTTTGACAGTGAGTGCACCAAAGTTTGTCTTTGTCATCCACTCTCTTTTGTGAATCTCCCTTTTTAAAAGAACCTCCAACATTTGAACTTGTACCCCCTCAGACAGCTAGTGCAATCGGTTCCCCTTCTATACAATTCATTACACTTCTTCTGCTCTCTTCAGATTGAACTAGGGCATAAACTTCTTGGACTGAAGGTAGGTTCTTACTTCCTAAGATTTGTACCCTCATGGATTCATATGTAGGATTCAGCCTCAAAAGAAAGGCAAATACCCGTTGCAGGGAAACAAGCGATTTGTAGGCCTTTGCGTCCTCATCGCACTTCCAATTCACATTTTGATAATGATCCAGTTCCTTCCAAATGGATGTCAAGTCTGAATAGTACACTGAGAGACTCCTCTCCCCTAACTTGCAAGTGGAGGATTCTGCTTGTAATTGATATATCTTTGCATAGTGTCTCTGTTCTAAATAGGTAGATTTTGCTTGTTCCCATATTTCACAAGCTGTTTCAACCCACATAAAGGTATTCCTTACTTATGGCAGCATAGAAACCAAGAGCCATGACATCACCATGCTATTTTCTTGGTCCCATTTGTCATGTTCAACACTATCAATCTTTGGTTCCTTGATTTTACCATTAATATACCCAATTTTTCCTCTAGCAGTAATATAAAGTTTAATTTCCCTAGACCATTCAAGATAGTTCAGTCCATCAAAGGGGGTTACAGCCATGAGGAAACTCATATCCATCCCCCCACTCATTCCATTTTGACCTCCTGAAATTCCTGAAGTTGCAGAATTCTTAGAGGACATGATTCAAACACCTTTCAGACCTTACACACACCTTATGATCCCTCCTATCACCAAACAAATAGTCCTAGAAACACCAAGGATGAAGCCCACATGCACACACTGCAATCTGGACACAATCTGACCACAAACCAGCTTAGATTGTCCAAAAAAGGCAAGATTTTAGGGTGATCTCAGAGCTGATCTGACCTAGCAGTCACACTCCACCAACTTCCAGACACCCCAAACACATTGACTGCTAAGAGGGGTCATAAACCAGTATGGTTACACCACAAGGGTTAAAAGATCAAGTCATCCACGACCTACAGATCTGAATTCTCAGACATGGGATCACACCATCCATAAAAAAAAAGAGGTTCGAACCTCACAGCTTCTCAGAAAACATTCAGCAGTCTGGAGTCATATAGTTTCTTCTTGGTACACGACCAAGGAAAAGGAAAAAAACACTAAAAAAAATCTGTACCAGTCATAGGTCTGCACTTTGTTGATCTCAGTTGAAGAAGACAGCAGGTTGAAGCTTGTTCGATCTGCTCACAGGCCTAGCGGAACAGCTCTGATACCATATTAACAGCCAAACAGAGGAGAAGAGAGGTAGGAGAAGAGAAGAGAAGAGGAAGAGAAGAGAAGAGAGGAGAGAGGAGAGAAGAGAAGAGAAGAGAGGAGAGAGGAGAGAAGAGAAGAGAGAGATTTGGAGTCTGCTACAGTGCTGGCGGCGCCAGCTTATATTAATATATATAGGGCGACCATAATCAGAAGGGAAGGGACCCTTATGCCCCCTACTTAAGTTACAGCATAAAAAACAAAAGAAAAAACTGCTTTAATCTGTCCAACGGACCCTAACTCAGCAGAATACAAACATAATAAATAAAGTTAACATTCCAACACTCTCTATGCAGTTGCACATCTTATTTTAACATGGGCATGTTTGTTAACGAAAAAAACACATATATCCATTTCTACCATAAATTAATATTGTTTGTCAACCTAAAATTTTTTAGGGTCTAACTTGACCACCTTTATGTAGCAGCAGCAGGAGCAGTATGCAGCAAAGACCACCATATGTATCAATTTATTTTAGTTTGTAATTGCATATGGGCATGCTTATAAACAAAAAGTGCATATATCTTTTTTCGAAAGAAGGTAAAGTATGATTGTATTAATATACGGTCGTGTGTACAAAGAGAAGCTGTACAAAATGAAGGACCTCAAAAAAAGGCCATCCTCAAAAAAGTTTTGTTTGTACAAAATTGCATATATCTTTGTCTACCATAAAATAATAGTTTTGTTTGTCAACCTAAACTTTTGTTATGGTCTAACTTGACTACCTTTATGCAGCTGCAGCAGCAACACAGACCACCATATGTATCTAAGGTTGCCTTATGTCATGACCATTTTTTTGCCATATTATGTATATTCAGTGGCATTTTCTTGGTGAATTCTGTATTAATGAACTCAGCAGCAACCGTCTTCCACAGTGCTGGCCTCGTTGTGCTTACTTTACAGGATGCACTTTTACTTATGGACCAGGTATTTTTCTTAGTTCTGCAAGAAACCAGTTTCTGATTTTCTGTTGCCATTTAAGGGTTTTGTTGAATTATACACCTACAATGTATTTTCTTTACAAGTTTTTAGGAGTTATTGTGGTGCATACTTGTTTCTTTTATCATTTTACAGGTATTTAGGAGTCCTATGGCAACTTTTGCCTTTTTTCTGGTCCTTCTCATTTCTAGTCAGATTACAACATTAACTTGGAATATTGGTGGGCAAGTAGTACTGAATAATTTATTTGCGGTGGACCTACCTGCTTGGATTCATCGTGCAACAATCAGAATGATTGCCATTGTTCCAGCTCTTTACTGTGCATGGAATTCTGGAGCTGAAGGAGTATACCGGCTGCTTGTTTTTGCTCAAGTTGTGGTGGCTATGCTACTTCCACCTTCTGTAATCCCACTTTTTCGGGTGGCCTCATCAAGTTCAATAATGGGTGCCTTCAGAATCTCTCAGCTTCTGGAATTCTTAGCTTTGACTGCCTTTATTGGAATACTTGGTTTAGAATTTGTCTTTTTTGTGGAGGTCTTATTCGGGGAAAGTGACTGGGTGGGTAGTTTGCGATGGAACATGGGAAGTAGTGTGGCACTCCCATATGTTGTTGTTCTCATCATTGCCTCTACATCACTCTGTATGATGCTTTGGTTGGCAACCACTCCACTGAAATCTGCAAGCATCAATCAAGATGCACAGACATGGAACTGGGATATACAAAACACTCGACCCAAGTTATCTATGGAGGGAGAAGAGTTTGGTTTAGTTAGGACTAGTTATCATGGGGAGGGGACTGCAGCAGAAGAACCAGCATGTGAGAAGTCTTTGGAGAGTTGTTCTGATGGTCTAGCTGCTGAGTTTGATGTTGACTTGCCTGAAACAATTATGGATTCTGACCAAGAAGCTCCTGCTACTTTGAGTGAGGAGAAACATACTACTGCTACCACTGAAGCTCCTAGCTCCCCAAAACGCCAATCAGAAGAATCAGTGTCCACAACTGAGTCGGTTCCAGTTGCAAATTTAGGTAATGAGGTTTCTGATAATGGATCTCTTGATTCTGATTCTGTACAGAAGATTGAACTTGTTGATCCAGTTGGAAAGACTGAGGGGGTGAAAGGAGACCTGCAAACTGACAAGGATGATGACGAGGGGGAAACATGGGCACCAGAAGAATCATCTAGATCTGTTTTTGCAGGTGCACTCACTTCAACCTCTGAGGGTTCAGGATCTTTTAGGAGTCTTAGTGGGAAAACTGATGAAGGTACCAGTGGTGGTGGAAGTCTTTCAAGATTATCTGGGCTGGGTCGTGCTGCCAGACGTCAATTAGCTGCTATTCTTGATGAGTTCTGGGGTCAGTTGTATGATTTTCATGGGCAGATAACTCAAGAAGCAAAGTCCAAGAAATTAGATGTTTTGTTGGGAGTGGATCCCAAACCTTCTGTTTCACAAAAAATAGACCCTACTGGGAATCAATCTTCTGGATTCTTTCCTTTGGTAGCAGAAAGAGGATCTGATTTTCTGATAAACTCTAGTATATATGATTCCCCAAAGAAACAGCGGATGCCAAGCAATGTAGGATTGTCTTATGGGCTTCAAACAGGTTCTTCTGCATCGTGGTCTACTCACATGCAGTTGTTGGATGCATATGCACAAAGTTCCAGCTGCAGTGTTGCTGATGCCAGTGAGAGGAGGTACTCTAGTTTGCGACTGCCACAGTCTTCTGATGGCTGGGATTATCAGCCTACAACAGTGCATGGTTATCAGATGGCATCCTATCTTGCTAAGATGGCTTTAGACAGAAATGCCGATGCTTTGAGCACTTCATTGGACCCACTGACCCCTAAAACCTCATCTTTTGTCCCTACCAACTACAGAGACTCAACCACTTATGCTCTGGGTCAAAAACTACAAAATGAGATTACCTCCTTAAATTCATCCACCATGCATAACCCAGTGGCATCTAGAAATAGCACATTACAAGCTGAAAGACCTTACTATGATTCCTGTTCTTATGGGCCTGTCGAAAATCCTGGGTCAACAAAGAAGTACCACAGCTTACCTGACATTTCTGGCCTTGCAGTTCCTCTTCGGGATTCATATTTGTCTGATAGGAGTGCTCAGTGGGGCACTCCTATTGGAAACACAGCATATGAACAATCCCTATATTCAAATACTGGATCCAGGGCAGAAGTTCCTTTGCCGTTTGATGAACTCTCTCCTAGTAAGTTGTACAGAGAAGCCCTCTCTGTACAGTTGACTCCAAATTCAGACACCTCACTCTGGTCTAGACAGCCTTCTGAACAATTATTTGGAGTTGCAGGTCGAACTCGGTGTGTGGGAGATGGAACCGGAACCCGACAGAATTTGGTTATGCGAGAAACGCCTTCTCAAGTAGACTTGGAGGCTAAGCTGCTTCAGTCGTTCAGATGTTGTGTTGCGAAGCTCTTGAAGTTGGAGGGATCTGATTGGTTATTTAGGCAGAATAACGGGGTTGATGAGGATCTGGTTGGCCGTGTTGCCACTAGGGAGAGCTTCTTTTATGAAGCTGAAAGTAGAGAGGTTAATCAAATAGTTTACATGGGTGAGTCTCAGTATCTATCTACTGACAAGAAGATCAGTCCAGGGCTCAAGAATGAGGATGCCAGTCTTTCCCGGTTTCTTGTTTCCTCAGTTCCACATTGTGGGGAGGGTTGTGTTTGGCGAGTGGATCTGATAGTGAGCTTTGGAGTGTGGTGCATTCATCGAATACTGGAGTTGTCATTGATGGAAAGCCGGCCAGAGCTTTGGGGAAAATATACTTACGTTCTTAATCGCCTTCAGGTATGTCTAGTTATTAATGACTTGCTGTGTAAAAAAGAAAATACTCAATGACCATATATTTAACTCTAGAAAGGATCCTTATTTGACATTTTAAGATGATCAACCCTATCCCTAAGACATTTATAAATTTAAGAGAACTCAAAGATAGCAAAATCTAAATTATTAAAAATTGTCACTGGTGGAAGAAGATGAAATTACCAAGCTGCCAACTGATGGCAAAATGGACCGTCTTTCGAAGACATGTTCCAACAACCCTGCAATAGGTTAGGGCCAACTGTTCTAATAAGATCTGCCACAAAAAAAAAAGTGATTGTATTGTTCAGGCCAAGTTGAATTTGGCATAGGAGATCTTATTGAGTGGTGGCTCCCCTAATGCACTTTTGTTGGAGATTGCATTTATTTATTTTCTGCTGATAATGATTACAATTGGAACATTGGAAGTTTCTTATTGTCACTTTTCCCCAACAGGGAGTTCTCGATATGGCATTTTCCAAGCCTAGGACTCCCTTGCCTCCCTGTTTCTGTCTCCAAGTACTGGCGGCACATGCAAGAAGGTCAAGCCCACCACTTTGTAATGCCCCGTCTGGAAAACCAGGAAGGGGGAAATGCACCAGTGCATCCATGCTTCTTGATTTAATCAGGGATGTTGAGACAGCAGTTTCCTGCCGTAAGGGTCGAACGGGCACTGCAGCAGGCGATGTGGCTTTCCCCAAAGGTAAGGAGAATCTGGCTTCAGTCCTCAAGCGCTACAAGCGTAGGCTTTCCAACAAACCCGTTGGGGCAGTGGAAGGTGGTTCTGCTTCACGTAAAGTTCCTATACTTGCATCATATGCCTCGTAGTGTTCCAATGTTTTTTGAGCAAACTTGCATCAGGGAGATTGGGCTGTTTGCTTTTGAAAATTGGTTTCATGAGGCTCCTGCCAGACAGTGCATCACCGTTGCTTGGTTGTGTCGATGTATGTACAAGTCTTCGCTGCAAATTTCATTTCCATGTATACTATGTATACGTATACCAAAAGTTACTGGAACTGTGATTGCAGCGAAAAAATGGGTAGAAAAAAGGTGAAAAGCGTATTATGTAGCTGTTGTTTCCGCTGTGACTGTAGTTTTTGTCACCATTTTTTTTCTTTTATTTACCAGATGGTGATATGTCAATCACAGTTACATGGAAAGTGAAAAAAAAAAGAAAAAAAAAAAGATCTTGTTGGGGTTAGTTCGTTTGGTCATAACTTCAATCGACCGAAAGCAGTTTGTTCGTCGCATTGCTTCTGGAAAACGAGTACTTCCAATCAAGCTTCTGATACTACTGATGCTTTAATCTGCTGCAAATTTGCATAATCTTTGTTTGTGAAGTGAGTTGGACGTTCATTTGTCATAACTCATAATAGCTGAGCTTTATAAACGGATTTTAATGATTTTCTTTCGTAGTACGCAGTTATATACTGTTACTTTGTTAGTATTATTAAATACTCTCTAGTTGTTGCAAGAGTCGGATGATGCTCTCTCGTATATAGAAGTTGGATGTGTAAGTAAAAGAGGTTTCATAGGTATATAAAAGTTGGAACGTCCACCGAAGTTGGGTGAGATTTTTTCTTTTCTTGATAATTTATGGGGATGGATTTTGTTTTGCCAGTATTTCATATGGTATAATGGTAGTGATTATGGGCCAGGTAAGCGTGCAAATCGGAACCGAAGGCCCCAACCCTATCCCTAATCCAATCTGACTTTTTGGGTTGGGTCTTTGTAAATTGTAAGTTTACTATGTTGTTCCTGCATTTAAGTTTGCCATGAATCAAAATTGGAACCCAGATTTCCTGCACTCGTTTTAGTGTGGGATGTTATGCACTTCTAATTAGATTCAATCACGTCACACTTCACGTCTCCTCATCTCACAGGAGAAACTCAACCCAAAGAAGACACCATTAACAACTGATTTGCAGAACAGATCGTTCTTCGGTCAAGTGGTGGAAATCAGTTTGTAGGAAATAGGGTTTGTTATTCATTGTTTTGTTTTAGGAAATTGTTTTGCAAATAGATCCAAGTGTTAGAAATCATTTTGCAAGGGTGTGAGTTTTGCAAAGACAGCTTATGCTTTCTTTCCACGAAAGTTCTTTTAAAAGTTTTAGTCACCTCAAACAGAGAGAAACTAACTCATTGCTCTCTCGCATTTTAGCCCTAATAACAAGAACAAACTAAAGGAAAATTCCTAAATTGATGCAGCAACTCAGTAATATGCAAAGAGAACTTTTCTGTAGCTTGATGTTGCAGAATACTCTTGCAGGAAAAAGAAGAAGAAACACAGATGAAATCAAATGGTTTCTCGTAAATGGCTTTTGCCTTTGGCTGAAATCTGAAGAAGAAAGAGAAGTCTGCAAATCTCTTGTAAATGACACCAAAATAAGAAGAAAACAAAACAAAACAGTGAAGAATCTTAAAAAACAAATTTTGCCCCTTGACCGACTGTTCATCTAGGGTTTGGAAAGAAACCCCATGGCTTGAGTTTCCTGTTTTGTTTTGTGTAGTCCATAGTCAAAATCCCCTTTTTTCACTTTTTCTTTTTTTTCTTTTTTTAAGTTTTAAAAAATAAATTTTGGAGGCACAACACCCCAAATTTATCGTTTTACTTAATCCACACATGTGAGATGGGGAGGCATGTGACGTGCGACATTATTGAATTTGATTGGAAGTGCACCACATCCCACACCAAAGCCAGTGTAGAAAATCCGGGTGTGCGATGATGAAATTTATTATCCCTGCATTTAAGACTTGGGGGCTTATCTCCTCAACCAAATGTGGTTGGGACCTTTGGGTTGGAGGACAATTTTTTTTTTTACTTATTTTTTTACCACCATTTAACAGCAACCCGGTTAGTTTGGTCATTAAAAATAATTAATGCTGTAGCTACTGGACAACCCAAAATGGGGGTTTTAGATTTAGACAACAAAAATTTTCTAACAAGGGAATCTTTTGGAGGTTTTGAAAAGTCGGTAGAAATGGGTAAAAGCAGTGTTGTAAGACTCAGCCTGGTCCAAATTAGACCTGTTCATGGGCCGGGCCGGGCCGGGTTGGGCTCGGGCCAGGCTTTTACTCTTTATTAACATAAACTTTTCAGGCCCGAGCCCGAGCCCAGCCCGACCAATGGACCTAAAACTTGGGCCCGAGCCCAGCCCTCATAAAAAGCCCGAAGCCCGACTTGGGAGTCTGAGCGCCGGTGCCCTCTGAGGATTGAGAGAATGGTGCTGTTGAGTTCGCCGATTCCCGGGAGTCTGAGAGTGAGAATAGAAACCCAGAAAGTGAGAAAATAGAAGATGAAAACAATGCCGGTTAGAGAGAGAGAGAGAGAAAGAGAGCTCACCGCGAGAGAGACGATCTAGATCTGGTGGTGCTAGTCACCGGTGCCTGAGTTCGCAAAATGAAAATGGTGCGCCTGGGTTCTGGTGGCACTGGTTGGAGAGAGAACTGATAATGAGAAGAAAGAAGATGAAAACGGTGCCAGCTAGAGAGAGAGAGAGAGAGAGAGAGAGATCACCGCCGCCAAAGAGAGAGATGACTAGTTCTAGTGGAGTCGGCCGTCGGTGACTGAGTTCACAAGTGTAGTTGGGTTCACCGGTTCTAAGAGTTGAGAGGGAGAAATGAGAGCCGCCACTTCTGAGAGTGAGAGTGAGAAAGGAGAATGAAAAGAAAAATTTTAAATATTTAGGGTTAGGGTTAGGTAGTTTAGGAAAAGTCAGGCCGGGCCGGGCTCGGGCCCAGCTCGGGCCGGGCTTTTTTAACAAATCCCGAGCCTGGCCCGTAAAATAGTCGGGTTCGGGCTTTTAGGCCCGAGGTCAAGCCCGCGGGCTAAAACACATGCCCAAGTCCGTCCGGGGGCCGGGCTGGGCCGGCCCGTCGGGCCACCCGACCCATGAACAGGTCTAGTCCAAATGGTCGGACTCTGAAAACCCACGCCTCACTATAGGCTACAGCTGTACATTGAGAACAGGAGATGTTCCCAATGTATAACTGTAGCGTCATATGGGCAGGAGATCCGAAGCTCCGTTTGGTTCACTAGAATAGGGTTCGGAAAATGGGCCATTCCGATTCCAACTGTTTGGTTGGGCGGAATTAAAATTCCATTCTCCTTCCTGTTGGAATGATATTCTTTCATTTGAGGGAATGACCATTCTCTGCCCCTCCTATTCCTACAGATTTCATTTCTTATTATCATTTTGACCCAAATAAATTATAAGAATAGACAATTTCGATTTTGACTACAAACCAAACGGACCCTAAATTCATTTTTGGGTCTCATTAAAATGACGGTTTTTGTGGGTTTTCTTTTTTACAGGCTAAATCAGCAAACTGCCTGATTAGTCGGCAAAACCAAGGCCCATGGTTATAGTCTTAGTCGATTAACAACCTAATAAATAATGGTGTTTGAAAATTAACGTCATTCGTTAATCTGATATGATATAAGAAACGACGTGGGCCAATAAAATGTTAGGACGCAAGCGAGTTTCCTCGATGGAGTGTTGGTTGAGCTTGAACATGACACGTCGCTCGTCCTCATCTAATATGTTCGCTTTCGCTCTCTCTCTCACACCAGATCACCCGTTTGCTCGCTCGCTCGACAACTGTTTCAGGTCTTTCCGAATTCCGATCAAGTTCTGAAGGTCAATCTCAGTTGGGGACGGAAGAGGTACGTGGTATTCCTCTTTTCTTGAATTAGTGGTGGGTGGATGGTTTATGATTTTTCTGTGACGACGGAGAAACTTTTCTTTCAATTTTCTGTGACTGCGTGGAGTGGATCTCTGTTCTATCCTGGTTGATCTTGAAATTAAACAACTTCTTCTTCAACGTATGATTGGGTAGTTTCTGGGTTCATGGGGTTATTCAGTCAGAAGTTCCAATACTCGCTCAATTAATCGTTGAAGCTACTTTCTTTGTTGCTTACTGTGAGAAAATCAGTTTTTTGATCATTCATTCGGTGTCGATTAATTCAGGGGAAGGCGTTCAAATTAATCAAGTGGGGATCAAGGGAAATTGAAAGATGGGATTCGTGGTGGTAATATCGTTACCAGTGATTCTATTCATCTTGATACTAGCCATTGCTTGTTACCTTCTTGGAAGGGCCCGGGGTCAGACTCTGGCAAGGCCTGCTCCACCACAGTATTATGGGCCTCCACCTGTTCTTCCGGTGCCACCGCAGGCCCATGACCATGAAAAACCACAAGCTTAGAGGTTTATAGTGTATACTGTGCTGTATTACACGAGTTTACCGTGATGGTTGTATTATAAGCATTTGTACTTTTGTAGGGATTGTTTGGGTATTTCAGTATTTCTTTACTCGTAGCTTGCTTCTGGACTTTAAGGCTCCATTCCTTTGTATGTATTTGAGTAAGGGAGCTTGTGTTTTCCAATAAAAGTTGTCCCGACAAACAAATAGGACTTAAAGGTTAGGAATACAATAGGGCAAAGTGAGATCTGCTGACCTTACCAGGATGCGGGTTTGATCCTGTGTCTTTGTTTGTGGAGGAACATTGAGTGACCATCTCAGCTATTTGCCACGTTAACATGGCAAAATCATCAATAGACTGTCAATATTATGGGCCAATTCTGCATACCCCAAGAATAGCCCACCCTATTGGGAGTTGAGATCTGCTTCTCGTTAAACCAGGTTACTCAAATACGAGTCAACATACCAATGTTTCAAAAAAAAATAAACACCTGGCAAAAAAGTTTGAATCCGGATCTGCTCCTCATACCAACCTTCAACACATTCAGCTGTGGATTGGGAACAACATAATACGTGAGATGTTTACGATGCACAGTTTGCAGTAAAATTAGTGTGAGTATCGCTACGTGAGGAGCGAATCCAAATTGGAACAGTTCTACTCCAACAGACCCAATTAGCACAAATATAGGATTGATCCCACAGGTTGTTGCAATGAAGATTCATTGAGCACCCGTGGAGTTCAGTTCTGCTGTTTATGGGCTGGGCTCGGGCTTGATTTTTACCAAAACTTGAATGAGGCCCAGTCTGAAACCCGAACCCAACACAGTATAAGTCAGACCCGAAGCTTGGTTCGTAAATAGGTCTAGTCCCAACTAGCTGTTACAGTCACTGCACTGCAGTGGCCTGTTGGGAGCATTTTGTTGGTAGCAGATCCCTACCTGTTAGTGAGCCAAGCTACGAACTGGTTGCCTTCCCTCCAAATATGAGAATCTGTCACCTGTAACCTATTCTCTTCTTTTAGCCTTTGACACTCTTTGATTTAGTCTTCAGTCTTCAGATCTCCATGGTGGGTCTTCGCATCAAGTAAAGTTTTCTAGGGATGTACAACATTTCTCCATGAGCAACTCAAAAATCCTTTTGGTTCCTAACTATGCATCCATTTGAGCACATACCATTTGTATTTAGAGATGTATCAAAATTTATTTTTAGAATAAATTTCTTAAATAACCCCTATTATTTAGTTAACTGACTTATTATATCCTTACTATTTAATTATTGTCTTGCACCACCCCTAGTGTTTTTGACACAATTGCCTAAAACATCCTTTACCATTAATGCTCTGTCATAAAAAGTTCACATGTGACATCACGTGATTGTTATACTTATAAAAAATTTCTAATTTACCCTTTTATGGTCCAAAATGCCCTTTTCGTTTGTTTGCCCTCTCTGAGCTGCAACAGTAGAATTGAAGTGGTAAGCTTTCAACCAACTTTACAGCTCGTCAACTTCCAATGTCAAAGCTCTACCTTAGAGGCAACAAAGGGGTTACTGAACCTAGGTGAAGATTTGGACAAGGTTGTATGCAAGGTCAGAGAGGTTGGAGCGAGAGCGGTTCCAATTGTTGAGGTAAGGGAATGTGTTAAACCAAATGGATAGACAAAAGGGTGGTTGAGAACAATTGGGTGATCGGAAGTCGGTGAGAGGAAGACAATCAGAGGAACAATAGGGTAGTCTTGCGGAATCCAAATGGTGAGGGGTATTGGAAGTGTGGCACGAGAGACCTGAAGTCATCCTCTAGAATTTAAAAGGTAGACAATGGTGTCATCATTATGAACGAAGGTGTTTGTTGACAGGGAGATAGTGGGGAAGTCTTGAAGCAGGGCTAGGAGGTGTAGAGGCTCCTAAGAAAGTAGTTATCAAAATCAAAAAGTTTATTAAAATAATTTGGTAACCATGATTGTATTTCATGGTCTTGATTTTATTCCCTCTATGAGAAAGCAACAACAATAGAGGCTCCATGTGAAGTCCTGCAACAGAACCCTACGACGGGAGTTGATAGTAACTAGAAGCAACAGAGGAGCGAGTGATACTTCTCCAATGAGAGTAGATCTAGATGACAACCCTATCAATCCGATTATTATCTACATGATTGGTGTCGGCGGGAACTCTGTGTACGGTACACTATTGTATAGGGGTGTTGAGGAGGGAGGAGGAGAAAGATCTCCGACGAAAGTAGATCTAAATGGCAGGAGTAGATAGTAATCGGAAGCAATAGAGGAGCGAGCGATACTTCTTTGACCAAAATAGATCTAAATGGTGGGATCAGCACCAGCAGGAACTCAGTGTACGGTACACTATCGAGCCAATTACAATCTACATGATCGGCACCATCTCTTCTCGATCATGATTTGCATTTTCATGCTTCTTAGATTCTACTCTTATTCCAATCTTCAACTTTCGATTTCCTCTCATAGATTTCATAGATTGTCGCCGTGTCAAACCTCTATACAATTCAATACCATCCAAATAATCAAATATGTTGAAGAGAAAATTCGACTTTGAAAGTTTTGGCATAAACAAGCTAGCGATCTATAATTTTGAGACATCCCAGGCTTTGTGTTTGGGGGATAACATTTCGCAACTGAGGATTTATCAAAGAGTGGAAGACGGAACAGAGACGAGACAGAAAACCCTCAGCATTTCACATCTAGGGTTCATTAAAAGAGTGGAAGATGGAGATGGAAATGGAAAATGGAAGTGGAGACAGAAATCAAGGAATAGTGGAGGGAAAATTTGACATTTCATTTTTTCCATTAGCACTTAACGACGATGCCAATTGTTAGAAAAAGTAGGGGTGGTGCAAGACAATAGATTAACAGTAAGGGTATAGTTAGTCAATTAGCTAAACAGTAGGGGTAGTTTAAGAAATTTATCCTTATTTTTATTGTTCCTTCTCTTTGTTGGGTTCCTATTAACCTACTTTCTAGTCTTGCCTTCTCTTGGTTACTTATTTTTATTATTCCTTCTCTTCACAATCCTCTTGGTTACTTTCTACTCTTGACTTTGTAATATAATCAGGGGTCAGTATAAGGAATGCCTACCCCCTAAAATAGGGTAAACCCCAAAACAACAAGGATTTCATGTATCGATGATGCACCGATACGATACAAGCTGATACCTTGCAAAATTTTGATCATTGCAGCTTTCACCACACAAACCTCCTTCTCCTCTCATTTCTTACATGTGGTCAGTTATTTTTAAATCAAATCATCAAAAATATGAGAAGTCAAAATAAAACTCTCTCTAGCCTTAATTGTCTCTAATAAAATCCGTCCACTTCTCAAATAAAACCCTCTTAGGTCTCTCTCGCCCTCTCTCTCTTTGCCACCCTCAATAATCAATGTTTGTAACATGTTCCTTGTCTCATTAAATCCCAAATCTATATTTGTATTTTAAAGGCTAGGTTGTCCAAGCATAATTCTTTCTTTCTGTTTTTTTAATTTTCGTTTTTTTCTTAATGCCATTAACTCCAGCCATTACAATGACGACAATGGTCTTGAGTGCTTATGAAATGAAACTTATTAATATGTGGCAATTTTGGGCGCTCACAACTTGAAGAGAAGTTTTATTAGCCTTTGTGCTTTCTAACAAATCAGTAACTTGAAAAAGTTTTACCCAAGTTATTACTTTGTTGATAACTTCTTATTGAATTCTTTCCATAGAAAATATTACAGTAATAGTTATAACAAATATGGGTTAAGAAACTATGAGAGGGTGGTTGAGATATCTTCTAAGTTCTAATATTAGAGTCAGAGAATGACAATCTTGAATCTTGAATATTTATGGTCCTACCTCCATCGTAAATTTTAATAAAAAAAGCTTTTAATGTTTGATAAGGTAGACGAAACGGATGGTCTAGTGTAAATTGAATGATTAAATTACAATATAGTATACAGAACAGTATAATAATTTATCTTATAATAAATATTAATTATGATAATAAATAGTAATTATTAAAATTAATAATTTTTATTTTATTTTGCCCTTTGATTTTACTTCCCATCATGATGTTATGACTCGATATGAAATATCATGATGTTATGATTTTGCATCCTGTTTTGTGCATTGGGTATTTATTTTGCCCTGTTTGATTCGACCAGAGGGCTTCTCCTTTATACAAATAGCATCATTTTTTTAGGGAAAATTTCGGATAGTTACCTTATATTTTAGGCCAAGTGTCAATTTAATACTCGAACTTGCGATAATCTAATATTCGAATTTTTATTTTGCGATACCGGACGGTAACATGGAAAAAAACACAAATGCCCCTTAAATTTGATCTAATTTTCTTTATCAAATGAATCCCAAAACTTGTACTTTCAAAAGAGCAATCGACGTACGCAACGATATCAAAATTGATGGCCGGCTATAAAACTGCCTTTCACTGTACGCAACTCCCCCTCAAGGCAATGGACATCTCGAAACGAGAAGGCAACACTGTTCACCGTCTCTGAATGCACTGTTCAGAATTATCAGTTATCACTATTCGTTGAGCCATGACAGAATAAGAAAAATGCTCATTTACGACAAAAAAAAGAAAAGAAAAGATAAATAATAATATCTCTTTTTCTGGGTACGAATCCCACAAAGGACTATAAAGGCGATGAACTGAACCAGGACCCATTTGAATGGGACGTTGGAGCAGCTAACGAAGTAAAGGAGTTCGATCGGGATTGAAAAATAGGCTACAGCGGTAAGGAAATCAATGAAACCCCGAAAAGGAAAAAAAAAAAAAAGGGAAAAACCAAAGTTAAAAGAAACCCATTTGCCAGGTCTCAAGATCTAAAATACCCAGAATCCCAAAGCCTTCAAAGACCAAAATTGTAAATTTCTGCTTCCTCTGTTTTTCCTCTTTTGTTAAATTCTGTTTATCTACTTGCAAGATATATATATTTTTCCATCTTCAGTGTTTGCGTATGATAGCGGAGTTGAAGAGCACGAGATCTCTACAACTCACGACACCACTAACAAAAAGAATGTCAAGAAGGACCACTAATACCGACCTTTAAAAGCCCAGATACCAACACCAGAAATGCAAGGCAACTAAAAGCAGTACGATTTCAATGTAAACACCTTCGGATCTTTCTTTCTTTCTTTCCTCTTCTTCACGAGCCAACCTTTAAGCTTTTAAAACACTGATTGATTTTGACGGTTTTCAGTAGTAGCTTCGCCACCTGCCGCCGTATCCAATCATGCAACGTATAGAACATAGAAACCACCAATCTCCAATAAGAGCAGCAGAAACAGAGACAACAACGATAAGAAGACTCAAGACCCCTCCCCCTCCTCCTCCACCTCCTTCCTCCAAGAAAACCAAACCCAGTGTCGGAGCACAACCTACAAAACCAGTGTCGTGAACACCACTCTCCACCAGCCTGGTTCTCTGGACATAAAACCGGCCATGTTGCGCCGTGTAGGCCGCTGAAACCCAGCAGAGGAGGAGGAGAAAAGCGGTTTTGGGTTCTGGGTTCTTTCTGTAGTTCATAGCAGAGCAGATGAACCGATAATATCAGATTCTCCTACTGTTCTCTTCATTTCTTATTATCCTTTTTTTTTTCAACTGCGATCACCCTTAAAGTTAAGGTTGTGAGAGAGCTTTTCTTGAAGAAGAAGGTTTGGGAGCTTGACAGAGAGGTTGATAGGATGATCAGACAGAAGGAAGCTGGCCACCATGTCCGAATGCTGACGCAAGAGATTCGGAAGTCATTGGATAGGCATACCATCTTGTATACCACTCTGGTTGAGCTATCTAATACTTTGGGACTGCGGAACTGTTGCGGGTGTCAAACTTCAAATACCATCTTGAGCTATCTAATACCACTCTGGTTGAGCTATCTAATACCATCTTGTATACCCAATGAGATCAGAACAGAGATGAACTTGACCCACGAGTTGATAGGGAGGAGTTCTCGTCCTACCGTCCTCATAAATGATCCAGATATAAGGGAGATTAAGGATTACAAGGAAGTGAAGATCTTGATGCCGGGCTCAGCTCTCGGTCTTGCAAGCAGCGGTGGTTCTAGTGAGCCGGGTGCGGTGGCTGCAATACGGATGCCCATGTTGCGGGTGTCAAACTTCAAAGGAGGAACACCTGAGTTAATACAGCAATGTTATGCACTACTAGTTTTGTTCTTCCAGCATCTGATATTAGAATTTGGAGTGACAATGAATCGGAGATAATTAAGGTGGTTGCTGATTAGTTTTTTCTTGCAGATATTATCAAAACATGTGCTTCCATTACGAACGACACGCTTCGCCTGCTCCCTCCCCGTGTCCATTAGCGCTCCTGTCCAGAGCGAAGAGAATGCGAAAAAGCGCCGCCGAAGCAGCATGAGCAATTGAGCAGGCTTCTATTGCTACGCAACAATAGAACAGGAGAGCATTTTGCGCCCACATGAACTTTTTGGTAAAAAGTTTGCTTGTTATACGGGATCCGACGCATCCAGCGGCGAGCTCTTTGGATTCTCTTTCAGAAGATAATGAACAGTACGGTAATTTTGATATTTTCAAAAATCTTAAATACCACATGAGGAGTATAGGTACTAGATTGTGGCAAAATAAAAGTTAGGGTATTAAATTGGCACAACCTAAAGTTTGGATATTAAATTAGCACTCAAAATATATGTCGAGAATTTTCCTTTTTTTTAATAAATAAAATAAAAAAATGGTTATTTCCACTCTCAAATAGAAGCATTATTTTTAGATATAGCCCACTCAATTTCAAGAGAAAAAAGCATGAACTTTAAATGATAGTTACCTAAAAATGGGTTATTATTAACAAATAAAATTTGATTTAATCTTTTAAATCAAATAACAAGTCCAGAAATTAAAAAAAAAAAAAAAAGCTAACCTAAATTTACAATATAATATAAATAATGGGTATCACACAAAATCGATCAAAATACTGGCCCCATACTTAGTATGGGGTGATCATTCTTTAGTCTTCTATTTTAGAATACTTTCTTGCATCTATTTTTTCCACAAAACAAATATTCTCCTAGTATTGAGGACAAATGTTTCAGTTTCCCTTGTGGGGGCCCTGATTTGAACTCTTGTATCTGACGGAATCCCATTATAAGCCATTATAATGGATATTGGGATTAGGATAACTTTTATTAGTTTCCGTTTTCTGTCTGGTCTAAGCCCAACCCGGATAACATTGTCTCACGGATGTTTCTTTGCCATGGTGCGGTTTGGTGGTACTTAACGCAATCATGGTTTTCAAAACCGGGTCGGACAAGAAAAATCGGTAACTAGTCAGCCCCCGGGTCCGGTTATACTATAAATTAGAAATTCTTTAAAAATGTTGAAAAAATCAGAAAACCACTGACCTGGGGTTGAACCGCTAAACCATTTGATCCAGGCAGCGATTCACGGGTTATCTTTCTATTTTTACTGTTTTAAATAAAATAAAAAAAAAACAAAAAACAAAATAACTTCAATATCCCTATCCCAAATCGAATGTTTAGGCCTTTTAGGGTTAGAACCCCATTTTCATTCTAACCCTTCCCTCCTCTCAGCCCTCACACCCAATTGACCACCTGCGACGGCCAGCACTTACGGCGTCCGATGGTGACACAGCTACTGACTGCGATTAGTGGCGATCGGCAACGACGAGTTCGTAGCGGCGGCCATCGTATTTTGCAGCACTTCCAGACTCCAATAGTAACAGTTGTGGCAGGCGAATTTGTGGCGGCGGGTGGCGAGTTTGCAATGGCTATTCGACAAATTTGCAACAGCAGGCGGGGAATTTGCAGTCGGAGGTTGAAAAACACTTGGAGTTGTGTTGAGTTTCATTCGTTAATCATTAACCTTCCTTCACTCCTTTTTAGTTTTTAGTTTTCACTACTCGCTGGTTGAAAAGCAATTGTATCTAAGAAGCTATGCTAATATGCGCGAGGTGTATTAGTATGGTCACGAGATTAATTGTTTTTATATTTTTTCAGTATTTTTTGTACTTTTTTTTTGTATTTTCTATTTGTTATGTAATTTGTTATTTTTGTATTTAGATAGTTTTATTTTTCTGTATTTTCTGAATTTTTTTTTGTGTTTTTTCTATATTTTTTAGAAAATTTCTGTATTTTATTTTTATATTTTCTATGTGTTTTGTAATGTATTATTTTTTAGGGTAAATTACAAAGACCTCCCTGTACTATAGGGTCTGTGATAAAGACCCCCCCGTACTTTGTTTTGTGGCAAAGACCCCCCTTGACTATTAAGTCAGATGACAAAATGCATTAAATTACCAAAATACTCCACTAAACTTTTCCTATTTTCTTTTTTTGCCCTTTTTCTCTTAAAACCTATTGTTTTTCCTTTATTCTCTTCTTTTCCCCTCCACTGTTAGGAGTGGCAACGAGCCGAGCTTTTCATGAGCTGCTCGAGCTCGGTTCGGCTTAGTTTCAGCTGAGCTCGAGCTTGAGCCTATTAGAACTTGGCTCGCGAGCCAGCTCGAATATATATATATATATATATATATATATATAATTATAGAACAAAATATATATAATAAAAATATTATAATTATTAATTATTATAATTCTTAATATTTTAAATATAAAATAAAAAAATTATATATGATTTTTATTTTTATAAAATATTTATAAAATATATAATAAAATATTTTTGTAAAATATAAAACGAGTCGAGCCGAGCCAAGCTCGAGCTTATGAACTTTTGACTCGAGCTAAGCTCGAGCCTTGTAGAATAGTGTTGAGCCAAGCTCGAACCTAACACTATTCAGCTCGGCTCGGCTCGGCTCGAATCGACCCCTGCTCACCATCCTCTCTCATTCTTTCTCTCTCCTAGCTCTTACTAACGATATAACCTCTAACAAGTGCCTGTAACTTAACTAGACCCTTTAAAGCTCGAAGAGCCTTTCTTGCCTGAAACAATTTCGAACAGAAAGAAATGATGAACTCTGATGAAATCTAATTACTGAAGTAGGCAAGGAGAAAAATAACTATAGAATTAGCCATGAGTGCTTTAACAAAATAAAGGAATGAAGATCAGTCGAATATGGTCGGATTAGTTACGAGTTTGCAACCAAGTGAGCAACGAAAGTAATACACGAAAAGGAAATTGATGAATCAATTTTTTGGTGATGTATCAATTTTTTTGTGCTAAGTACCTTGTCATTTGGTTTGCTTCCAAGTGGTCGATGACTCAGAGGCCGAAGTGAACTTTTGCTGGATGAGGACCTGGATGCCGAGCTGACCAGGCCGAGCTGGGGGTAGATTAGGTGCCGAGTTAACTGGGCTGAGCTGGGCAGGTTAGGTGCCGAACTAACTGGGCCGAGCTAGGCAGGTTAGGTGACGAGCTGACCAGAGTGCCGAGCTGCCTATTTGGTGCCAAGTTGACCAGAGGGCCAAGCTGCCTATTGGGTGCCGAGCTGACCAGGCCGAGCTGGGGGTAGATTAGGTGCCGAGTTAACTGGGCCGAGCTGGGCAGGTTAGGTGCCGAACTGACTGGGCCGAGCTAGGCAGGTTAGGTGACGAGCTGACTAGAGTGTCGAGCTGCCTATTTGGTGCCAAGCTGACCAGAGGGCCAAACTGCCTATTGGGTGCCGAGCTGGCTGGTGGCGAACTGGATTGATTGTTGAGCTTCGTAGTTCTTTAGAGATATGCGAGGAACCAATGTCAAAGGACCCGCGGTGGCTAACCCGGCGAGGTCACTCCGATGCTTATGTCAATACTCTCATAATAGACTGCGAGCTAAAAATCACAAAGTATGAGAGCTAGAATATGCTTACTTGCCCCCTCATGTCATTGGGGTTGGTGCCTTTATAGGCATTGTTTGGCGTGGGGCTTCACGCACCATATCCGAGATTTCTGAGAAGTTGTCTAAGTGGTTTGAGATTCCCTGAGGTAACCGCCATGCACATTGACCACCCTCCGGATTGTTCGGCACGTGGGCCAACTTCCAAGGATTGTGGGAATGTTTGGATATGCATGCCGAATTTGTCGCCGAGCACGTCTCGCAGGTTGCCAGGTCGAAGCTTGTGCCAGGCCGCCAGGTCACGCCAGGGCCAGGCCGCCAGGTCGTGCTAGTGCCAGGCTGCCAGCTCGCGCCTATGCCAGGCTGCCAGTTCGCGTCAGGGCCAGGCCGCCAGGTCGCGCATGTGCCAGGCTTCCAGCTCGCGCCTGTACCAGGCTGAAGTTCGCGCCTGTGCCAGGCTGCCAGTTCGCGCCAGGGCCAGGCCGCCAGGTTGCGCCTTTGCCAGGCTGCTAGTTCACGCCTGGGCCTGGCCACCAGTTCGCACGTGGGCCATGCCGCCAGGTGGGACACCATCAACTTGGCTAAGACAAGTTGTTGCCAAAATAGTTCCGAGTGTCACCTAGTTGTTCGGATGTGTCATATGTCACAATATCATTATTGGAGGGCCAAATCCGCCCTCATCAGAAATCAATCATCCCAAATTTGAATAAACAACTTCCAAACTCGGAATTAAAGTCAAAGAAGATGAGAACTTCCAAACTGGGCAATTTACAAATTCAAACAAAGAAGAGTGTACCTAAATACTAATAACCATTGCTTGCCCCTGATTCAGCTGAGCAATAATGAAGCAGAATAAGATCAGTAAAACTAAATCCTCAGTCGAGAGAGCAAACAATTCCCATTATAAGTATCGAAAGATAAGGGGAAAATCTCAAAATATATCAAAAACCCACTCACGCGGCCAAGTTTTCCCGCCTTCCACCAAACGTCATCCCTTTGCCCTGGCTCGTGAGCCTTACAACGGCCGCCGCCGCCTGCGCAGCAGCAACGACAGCATCAGCTGCGGCAGCCGTCGCCGCAACCACAACAATTGCGTGCTTGTTCTGCTCCTTCTTGGTAAGGCTATAATAAGACCTCAGCCAGGCAGCATCTACCGAAGGTACATTGGGCGGGATAATAGCTGGGATCTGGCTCATAGACACCGCATCCCTCCCAGACTTCCCAAAACTCCACCTTCTCTTATCTTTCCGGTCGTCGGCGTTGGAATTGTCTTTATGGTCCTTATCTTTCTTCAACCCTAACAAGCCCCTCAGCCATCTTGTCGCTCTCCCCATTTCCCGATCAATGAGAAGAACCGAACAAATGGAGAGATACCTCAATAGGCCCAACAGGTGGAGAAAACAGTAAGGGGCCACTGCTTGGAGGGGGTTTGGGCGCGTGATGCCTCTGATCCAACATGAACA